AAACAGTACATCCCTAAGATAAAACAGTACATCCCTAAGATAAAACAGTACATCCCTAAGATAAAACAGTACATCCCTAAGATAAAACAGTACATCCCACTGGAGTTCTATTCCACCGCTTTATCCTTTAGCTAGAGGTCACGAGAAATAAACCGTGAAACTCGAGATAATATTCCATGTGTTGTTCAACGTGATATCCAACGGAACTAAAAATAATAGAAGTGCATGAAATCATATATGCGCTTATAGAGACCATCAGGGTCAAACTGATACCAGGGACCTTACAATATAGATCAGAAAATGCTTTGTGTAAACATACAAATGGTTTGCAACAGCCAATTTGTATATTTGAAACACTGACCAAAACCATAAGATATGTATAACACAGTGAACCTGCTCAGAACACTAGCTCTATGACTCATATTTTTACCTTATCTTGAGCGTGGGGCTGCCAATATGTCGCTGTTACAGTTTTCTCGGGTATTATGTCGATTTTCCATGTAAAATTTCCACCATCCGTCAGCTATTTGCTTCTTTTGATACAATTCTTCATGTTTTTTGCACAAGCTGAAGTGAGTTTCACCAAAACCACTGGATATAAATTATGTAGAGTTCTAATTAGACATACACAGAACCGAGGAAGGTATACGAGAACAAAAAGTGAAAACTACCAGTGAACAAGCCGCATATATATGAACATTGGTCTATGCACGAGGCAGCTTTCAGGTCATCAATTACGGGATTGCAATAGAGAATTTAGCTTTTGAGAACTGTGAGAAGCATATAATAAAATAAAGCTGAACCATCAATTGCCCTCCTTTGATCTTGCGAATTTTCATGCAATACATGACTTCTTGTTGAGATAAATGACTCAATACCAGTATGGTGGTTGGGACACGTACTCTAAGGCGAAGCCACTCTCGCAGTGGTCAGCTATATAAGACATGAAGAACTTTTCATGTCTTCTTTCGTCCTTTTTTAAGGAAAGCTCCTCTTCATAGATCTATATCTTAATCGACTCTCATGTTACCATAAACCCACCGATGTGGTCCTTACCATAGTACTGTTCGTTCACATGTTTTCACCACCCAAGATGCTATACCAAGATGTGCCCGATATACGCATACTAGGACTGTCTTTAACATTGACCAAGGCTCTGGGCCGGCCTACAGTTTCAATGCAGGGTAGACTTCAACACTTCTGCCGCGGCTATCATGCAAAATCTATTTCTTGTCGCGACATTCATTTCAGATTGCTGGTCTGTATATAAGCACTAAGTAGATATACAATTATCTAGAAATACTGTTTTGAATTTATGAGCTATATAAACAATGCTCGAGAATATTTTTGGATGATAACAAACAGAGGTTTTGAATTAAAGTCATTTGCGTCACAAGGACTAGACTAAATACTCAAGAGCCCCCAAATCCACTTTTTACTTGCAATAGCTTTCGCATACATCACAGTTATTTCGACATAAATCTCCAAGCAATGAGTTTCGTCATTTACATAGCGGTTATAATTAGTTTTCGAATTATCAGCCTGGTGAACACAGTGGTGATAGAATAAAATACGGTCATTAACAATGAGAGTCAATTTTATCTAGGGAATCTTGCTGTAAATCCTGAGGTGTTTTATTCTGTCGTGGACACTAGCCTTTTTACTATTATGGTTTCAGTCCAAAACCAAGCCAGAAGTTGTGTCACAAGTTTTATTAGGCAAAATATTTGAGTAAGAATGACCGGACAGGAGTTTGAAAATTCCGGAAAAGTCGCCTTAAACTCTTTATCAATGAACACCACTTCTGATTGTAATATCACAGTCTCCGAATCGTTTCTGAATACAGGAAATATATTCTTTGGTATAAGTGCTGGTGAATATGTGGCTTTGAAATTCTCCATTACGTCTGCAACTTCATGGTATAACTCTGGTAAATTTATTTTTTTCGTGGCTCATGGCGAGATTGTCAATTTGCAAATTTATTGCCATGCTGGACCCCGAGATTTCAATTCAATCAGAAATGATGGAGTAGTTTGTTTGAACAACACTACCTGGCAGGTAAATACAAATGTTGATGGAAATGGATGTGTCGCATTGGGCTCTGGTGGGCAGTTGTACTTAAAGTGCACAGAAGGTACATACGGTATAGCAGGCTCCCAAAAAATTCACTTCGGGTCACCTCACTCGGTATTAAAGATCACTAGCGGGGTTTCATGCGGTGACGTGCTAAAAGTCACAGGATTTGGGAACAGAAACCAAATTATGCTTCTTTCATACATCATCAGTGGATTTCAATACTATACTGGTACAGGTGTCTTGAAAATTTTCACTGGCAATAGCCTTGATGTTTCTTTTGATATCGGAACAGAATACGAGTCGTCTTTATTTTGATTGACGCCGAACTCTATTTACTACACGGAAAAGCCCTCTCAAAATCCTCCCAATATTTGCGATTGTTTGACAACGTTTCCAATTATTCCATGGGAATTTGGTATACCTTAACGAAAGAACAGAAATGTTTATAATCTAGAAACGACATTGTGATTTGATTAAAAATGCATTAACTTTAGTATAAATTTGAATTGAGAACTAACATGGGCTCATTCAGACTCATCATTACTTGAAGGATCAATGGTTACACTGGCTCAACCAAAATTTGATATGATTCTATGTGTTCTCATATCGCTAACAAATGTCTTATTCATCATTAAATTCGTGCTTGTGATTTTAGTACATGTTAATTCTAGGCTCTGCTAACAGTTTCTCGGATATTTAAGGTAAAAAAGTGTCCTTGTGGACAGCCGCCCTGGTTTCTATTGATCAGAACGGTATCCAATATTTTTGATGTACAAAAGTGTATACACACTTATAGCCCTAAAATGTTGATCAGCTAATTTACAAGTCAATTTAACTTTTGAGCCTCAATTTACTTATAAATCCCTCAAAGCTTGTCTAGCATCCTAGGACACGGGTGAAAACAATTATGATCATTCAGTAGAATTTATTTCTAAATGATGCCTGGTCTTACTGGTCATGCATAAGTCTCGACGTTAGATTGATGATTCAATTTATTCCCCGCATATTACTCAGAAACCCACGTAACATCTTGTAGAATCTAACACATTGTTTTACACAAAAAAGTAAAAGAAATGACGAAAGCTTTAGTAGAATTGTGCCATGATGTCCGAAATTTCGGGAATTCAAAGATTTCTTATCTTGTTCTAGAATCCTTCGCCCAACAAATTGAGATCACCGACTGAGGTGATTGGCTGGACCAGCATAATTGTGGAAAAGCTCACATCAGCTCAGTCCAAATCCCACAGTATCACGTAAATTTCATATTTGATGTGGCGTTCACTTTTTTTCCGCACGGATGGAAAAAAAATTAGCGGAAAAGAAAGAAACTGACCTCAATTTTTTTTTAATTTGAGGTCGCCCAGCATCTGATTCTCTACTTATATTATAAATTATCTTATTGATAATCAATTGATGTTTTAGTACATAATGTCGTAACGTAAATACACGCGGCTGTCTTCTATCTCAGTCAGACCCTTGGGGTCTTAAGGCCTCCTCTGACGTAAAGAATAATATCACGGTGTCCACGCGATATATCATCACGTGGCTATGCAATCAGTATGATTAAACAATGCGGAAATCATCATTGTATGTTTCATCTTAAAAATTAATACAAAAGGGTCAGTAAATAGACCCGAGGTAGTTTCTATGTCAATGTTTCACCTATTTTCTTTAGCAATATATTTCTTCCTGCGATGCACTTCTTATCCTTTTCTATGTTGCCATACTGCAACCATATGTCGGAGGTTACATTTCAAAGGCCCTAGAGGAGGCAAGGTAAACAGACAGTTAATGCATCAGATTTGAATAAGAACTAAACACAACCTGGGCAAACAGCACAGCGCCAGATGTCATTTTTGCAGGAGTATTTGCTAATTTATTAACCATATTTAAAGAAATAAAAACCAGCTTTCGAACAAACGAAGACGGGCTGGATGTCTCATCTCATGACCAGAAGAAAGTTTTGTCTCAGCATCTCTCGAATGAAGACAGTTGAGGCTTCCTGCGAAGTGTGCCATATCACAGCAAAAATTCATGGACCCGAAGGAAATATAATCGTACGTTCGCAAAAAGTAGGATGATTGTTTAGAGGCTGTTCACTAAAGGAAATAAAACCATTTTCTACTCCGAAACTCCCATAATAACCCGTAACAATATTGAAAATAATCATTTCAACGCTGTTACAAGCCAAATCTCCTGGAATAACGAACCCTGTTAACGGATCCATAAGCTTGGACTGATTGTTTATTCCCATTACCAAACCCTGCGACTTTGAGAGTAGGTACGTTACCACGTGGGACTCTATTCCAATAATTCTCAACCTTGAAGAACCGAAGGCTAAGTAAATGGTTTGAGTTTTTGCTATACCTTGCGTGCTTTCTGATAAATGCAAGTTTACCAGTACACCAGAACCCAATATCATACATCCATCTCCTTTTATATTTGTGCGTGCTTCCCAATGAATATTTGCGAAAAAGATTGTACCATTATTTGTTATGAATGTTTGAATTCCATTTTCCTCATAACATTGCAATTGCAACTCCCCATACTTTGAAATAAATACCATCATACCAGTGTTGGACCACGAGGATAAAGACGTGACAGAAAATGACAACGAATCAAAGATGGCATTGTGGACCCCAAAGTACATATCTCCGGTATTGAGGAAAGGCCCTGAAGGCGTGACTTGGCAATCAGAGAATAAACGAGTGAAAAGCAAATATTCCAGAATTTTCGTAGTTGCTTCCTGTCATTCTCACCGAAGTCGACAAATCATTTGGCATATTCAAGATGAATCGCCCATAATTCCGAAAAGAGCCCAGAACTGGTATATGGGGTATGCTCAAGATGTAGTAATATATGTTGGCATTGACAGTAAGATATTCAATGTTCTGGGGGATAGATAGGTACTGCGGGTAATAGTTACGGCACAAATCAGACTGAGAAGACACAACACGGTAATGACTACTGCGCTAAAGCCTGAGGTCATATTGTGGGGCTTTATAACTTAGTTCTATAAGAAGCTAACTAAATCAAAAATTTGAGTTTCCGAGGGGTCAAGATATTGATTTTATAAAGTCAAACTTGGTCGTGCTTAAACTATTTGCAGTACTTATATTACCATTGCTGTAAATAAAGGGCGTTTGCTGTCTTATATTTGTATCTTACAAACTTTTGTTCAAGGTTGTTTTTACATAAGGCTGCACACACAATTGTAAAGATCAAAAAATTAAAAGGGGGCAATGAGAAAAATAAGAAAAAAAAGGTATTGTGTTTACTTCTGAAATTTTAAAGTTCTTGCGGAGTGTATGATAGACTCTGTCATCGATAGCAAGGTTTACCATGCGCTGCAAAAATAAGGCAGCTGCATTAAAGATAATGAAAACATTGATCCAATGGAAAGTGACTGGATTTTAGCAATATCGAATACCATATGTAAAAAAAGTTCTTCAAAATTAATCCTTACAGAGTAAAGGTTAAAAAATGAGGATTTGCTTAGCCCCAGACGCGCCAAGCAAATTGACGTTCAAGCCGATGCGGCTTTTTCATGAACGCTTCCTCAACAGAGTTTGTGGTTATGTTCATGCATATTATAAAAAGTGTGCGATAAAATATTTCCAACAGTTTTATGCAAGCTATTCTTAAAATCTGTACAATAAACCCTATTCCTTGTTCTACTAAACGCTGGGAGATTTTCCGCATGAAGCGGTTCTGTTTCAAATCTCTTCTGCATACAGTGGATGGTTGAACTGTTGAGCTAGATTTCTCCTCCAGTATAGTGGTTGGGAGACGTACTTTTCGACGAAGCCACTCTGGTAGTGGACAGTCATACAAGACTTGAGAAACTTTTCATATTCTTCTTCTTCCTTCCCTAAATAAACGTCTCTTCACACTTACATCTACATTAGAATCGAATCTTACGTTATCTAAGCTTATTTCTACTGTTGCGGCTTTGAATATGTTACTATTCGCCTATATGTTTTCACCAACCTTAGATGCTATACCAGGTTTAGCCAGTATACGACTGTCTAAGACATTTGAACAGGTCTCCAGACAGGTGTATAGATTCCATGCGCGTTTTCACACACGCAGGATAGAATTCAACAGAAATTTTAAGAAAGGACAAATTTAGGAGTGATGTTCTTTGAAAAAAGAACGGGAATATCCCTGGCTTCTTTTTCTGAAAGGGGCATGTAGTACTGGTCAAAGCCTCAAGAAGACTCATCTTCACTAGTTGATTCAGTAGTGATAACCCAAGAAGCTTGAATTATCTACTATCAACTGGGCACTCATAAACCCTGTAAGCGTATATTTGTCTATAAGCATTTCTGGAATGAGTTCCGTCTGAAATCATGTCAATTAAAAAACTGTTCTTTCTATCTCAAGGTCATCCAATCACATTTTATATAAAGCTTATGTGATTCCCTATGTTATTTCAGGAGGGTAGTGATGACAAGGACTACCAACACGTTTATTTATTCCCTCATAGTCTTCTTGTAAATTAATTAGTTTGTCAATCAGACCAAAATTTGTCATAAGTATCGAATGCTAAGCTACCCTGAATCTATAGCCTGACTGTAGCTGTTTGATGCTTGTAATTCTTTTTAATCAAAGAAGGGAGACTAAAGCCTTCATGTTTCATTGCCTGAGTTACAAGAAGCTAAAGGAATTCATAATGGAGAAAATACACCTGTGGTCTGTCCCAAAACTAAAAATCAATATCGCCAGAGTCACGATCTATCATATATTGTGGCTCACACAATTTCTCAATGAGCTTCGCTTTGCTCACAGAAGTTCAACTCCTAGCTATAAGGATGCAGTAGCAGCCACCTGCTACTTCGTGTGATCAAATTCAAGAGTGCTTTGGTAAATTAAATCACACTGAACTAGTCTAACATTTTGTTGGAATGTCTGTAAATCTCACAAAAGACGAAGAAAATAAAAAGCAAAAACGTGAAAAAAAAAGGAATTTAACTAAAAACAAGTAGCTCCAGAAACCTCAGGAAATACTGATTGGCATGAGCACTCATATGGAGGTATATTTGGAGCATGAGGACTGTAAGAAATTTTACAACCGGTGGTGCTTAGTCTTAAACGAAATGACTGTTCCAGATACCCCGTGCCAATATGAAAAACCACTTTTGATTCTTTCACAACTTTGACAATGAGTTCACCTCTTGTAGTAAGGTACTCATATGAAGAAACATCATGATGCCAGATATCAAATTCAATCACGTTTTCGTTTCCGAATCCGGCAACTTTGATCATAGGAAATGTGCAAGATGAGTTCAATCCTGATATAGTCAACACCGAGTCAGGACCTTCCAAATAAAAAGTCTGCATTTTCGAAATAGAAAAGCAGTGGCTGTTTAGTGCTAAATTCAAGATAACAGCAGATCCAGTTCCAATGGTAATACAGCCATTTTCAGCGATGCTGGTAGTTGCCTGCCACATAGTATTGTATAAGCAAATAGATCCGCTATTTTTGATTATTGAGGAATCGTTGTGTCCAACATCTTGTGCAAGAAGAACTTGTGCACTTTCTCCAGAAGCGGTCCAAAATATCATCATACCAGTGTTGTTCCATGATTTCACAGAAGTGACACGAAATGGTATTGTCCCAGAAGTAGCACCGGATATACCAAAAAACATGGAGCCTGTGTTTATGAAGCTATCATGGGTATTGACGTAATATGTAGAAGGAAAGTCGGATTGTATTGTGTTAAAAGCAACTGTTCCGTAGTTTGTGAACTCGTCACTGTTTATTCGGACTGAAGCTTCCAAGTTATTAGTGCTTGATACCAAGAGACTGCCTAAAATGTAAACATGGCCCACAAAATGAACACGAGGGCTGTTCACAATTGAGTAGTTTACTCTCTTGACGAGGAGATCTTCAAGTAGCTTTTCCCCAGTTGTGATCTCGACGGTATTGCTTCTTACAATGAAGGAAGACGCTATACCTAGGCAAATCGAGATCTTAAAGGCTGCCTCGCTATAGCTGAGTTTCATGGTGAAGAGGTTTAAATGTCAGAGTAAAAAATACAGTTAGAGCAGTCCGAGTGCCCACTTTTATAGAGTATCTGTATTCTAGTGACTGGCGGTGTGTAAATAACTATTAAGTTTTGAATCTGAATATAAAAAACTTCTGCAGTTCAACTTCTTTGCAGCGGGGATCCATACAATCGAGACTCAAAAGACCCGATCTACAGGGCTGATAATGCAGGATTGCTGTCGAAATACTTTTGGCAGTAAGTTTTGAAGATGTCCTGTAGAGATATTTATCGGGTAAGAAAAGACAAGAGGCACAGTCCAGAAAAGACCCGAGGAGATCTGTGCTAATCAAATATACTGCGATTTTTCTTTACTTCTGCATCTTGAGGTCCACCTGGCTCTGAAGAATTTCTTCAAATTTACAACTCCGACTTTATTTAAGAATAAGCATTACGCATGATAATTTCGCTGTCTGCCAAGCATATACATATTGGGTGCGAAATGTTTGGAAACAGGGTTGGAAAAGAACTCGAGGGGTATTAGAGCAAGCAATCGATGTATATTCATCTCAATTTTGCAAATACGACCCCGTGAATTGCTTGAGTTCCTTATACTTTGTTGGTTGAGAAAAAATTATAGCTCAGAAAGATTCTTTAGTGTAAAATCATCATGGAGACGCACCATCAACACGCAATGTGACAGTTATATCAAGATAGTAAGATGTCAAACACCTACAATGATGTAACATAAGTGTACTGAACTAAACTATAGATATACAGCTATTCAAAAAATTAGCCCAGTTCGAAGCTCAAATAGTCTTTTAGGCAGCCCTAGGATACGCGAGTGCCGTTTAGAGGTGGGAAAAACTATTAAGCAAGTGGTCCCAAAAGTGGGACCACATGCATGGGGAGAGTTTAGAAACAGAGTTCACGTAAAAGAAGAAAATGAAATGTTTTCGAAGAAAGGATGAAATAAGTCCGACGTAGAACTATGACCCTTGAACCGCGTTGACTTCGATCACGTGACAAACCTATGTGGTAATTGTGCTCGACACACATACTTTACTTGGACGGGTATGAAATCGGGAAATTGTAAGATCACAAAAGACACCCTGCCTTATAAGCGCATAGTTGGCTATGTACAGGTCCAATATGAATTTGAACAAGACGCTTCTAATATTTCCAGGCCGTTAAGCGTCGTTTCCACATGATTGGGGACATAAGGTAAAAAATCCATATTTTTTATAAGGAGTTCAGCGATATACAGTAGGGCGGCTCCCGTGATGTCTTAGTAGGAACGCTCTTCTAGTCTGCCTCGTTTTTAACGTGAGAGTCAGATCAGTGCTCCATGCGCCATCCTTTATAATCTTTACACACTCCAGGGTTTCAGCTTTAGGCGAAGGCGCTGTTGGTTTCGAATTTTCTACAGGCTGAGACCCCATCAGCCACTCATTCAAAAACCCGGTTTGACCAACCGTTTTCAAGCATAGCGATTCTGATTTGGTTTATATTCCATCCACAAAATCTGGTCCACCTTTGGAGATTGCACGTAACATCTTGCAAATACTATGTTTGAATGTTTTAGTATTGATGAGCCTTTCTTTTCTTGAGGTCGATTTACAGGCATTATTCAAAATTACGTACTATCTCTAAGGATCTCTTCTGGTATATTTGCTCATACGTATACTTACTTCAGCTTAACTTAATGGCTTCACATATTTGCTGTTGATTATTTCGGAAAGCTAATTTGGACAATGCACGGCGACCTCACAGGCAATACACAGAATCAAGTCATTTTTTTGTTCCTCTGACACATATGCATGGTAGACATCTCAGCGTGTAATCTTCTTGAAACTAAACTGTGGAACACGTCAACTTTACATTAAACGATTTCTCAAAGCCCTGAGTCTGATCCTGATACCAGTCAGTAAGGGCAAGTACTCAATTCTATGATGAGCCATGTAATACCATCTAGCCACTATCTCCCACTCGCCTCATGCTGTTTAGAATGTCTTGATTTAAGAGTTCAATTTTGGAATCCCGCCTTCGTAGTCTGCACTCAAAATACAACCGCTTCCAGGGAAATTCCTGATCCCTAAAAACTTTTTTTATACATGTTATTCATAGTTCATCTACATGAAGTTCAAAATCCTCTGGCGTACTTACAATACCTTCGTCTCCGCGTCGATCAAATCAATCAAAAACTCGGCCTCCAATCTCTTTCTGCCCTCTCTCACCCAATCGTCTGCCAATTTCCTTGTCCAGCCCTTCAAGTTAGCAACCTCCTCAACGGCAGAGTCCAATTCTCCACGCACTAAGCTCTGCTCAACTCTTCCAATTACAGACTCAATATCTTTGCCGTCAGGTTTGGCGCCTTTCACAGGCATCAACAACTTGGAGAAGAAGATGGAAGCCATGTGACCCAACAAGCCTGCGTTGGGTGGCAACAAGGATGCAGATCTCAACTCAGGCGTAAGCTGCTCCCAAGCAGTCAACAATTGAGGCACCGTCAAGATCGATTGCGTGCTTTCGTTCTTGAGCAAAGGCTTCAACTCATCGAGTGCCAATGTAATCACCTCGTCGCTGGCTTTGCTTGAGACGGTTTGCAAGTTGTCCACAAACGGGGTGAAGCTTTGGGCAGGAGCATCCTCTGGGGTCTGCGTCAAAAGAGACTTCAACTTGGCGGAAGCACGCTGGATGAACGTCTTGGATTTGATCGACGAGACCTGTTGTTCCAAGCCAAGCGCAAACTTTTCCACCTCCTCCAATCTAGAGGAGAGCGCATCCAAATTCTTCAATCTTCCGTTTCTCTCTTCGTCAATCTTCTTCTTCACCATCTTCTCGAACCGCTTAGTTTGTTCGATTCTCACCATGGTGATGGCATTGATCGCCGCCTGGCTGAGCGCTTTTTCAGCAGCTGTCACCTCACTCGAAAGCCTCTCCTTGTACTTTTTCTCCAAGATAGATTTCTCCTGACTGTACTGGTCCAACAAAGTCTGGGTCAACTCCAACTCTTTCTGCGTGTGAGAAGTGAGCAACTGCGTCTTGGTGTCCTTCAATCTGGTTTCCAATTCTTTCTCAAACGAGTTGTTCAAAGCTGCAAGTTTCTGGGATAACGCACTGATGTTTTCACTGATCTTCTTGACCATGGCATCTTTCTTTGGGCCAAGGTTGCTACCGTCGAGCAACTCAAGCATTTCGTTGAACGATCTGATAGTGGCCTTAACAGAGTCGTCAGCAAGGCCGGAAATACTGTCGTTCAATGCCACAAACGGGATCTTCTCGATCTTTCCGGGGACAGTCTCGATACCTACGCTTTTCTGCAATTGTTCAGAGGGAAGCGAGTTTTGGGCGTGAGACAACTTCTTTTTAGTTTCTTCAATCAACTGCTCGCCTTGCTGCTCGATCTTTTGGGTCAATTCCTCAATAGCACCCTTGGAGGGGAGAGACACGTTTTTCGACAATTTAGTCCAAAGGGCCTGGAGCTCGGCCACGGACCCGTTCTCAATCAAATCGACCAATTCCTCGTAGTAGGGCAACTGCTTGTCAATGACGAAATCCATGACCCGGTCGTTTTTCGTGGCCGCATACATGGTACCCCCATAGACCACCGACGCAGCAAGCGCAGCCTTCCACAAAAGGCCGAAAATCGAAAACAGCTTCTTGGGGGGGACCTGCTGCTTGTTGTTTTCCTGTACATTTGCCTTGACCTCGGGTTTCACGCCATTGTGAGCGTTTTTTGGGGCATGAGGTACACCAAGAGGGTCGCTCTTGACCGCCTGGGAGGTCACCGGTTTCCCGGGCTGCGTCACGGGCGCGTTGAAAACGCGGGCCGACGACACAAGCGACCGGGTGGCACGTGACCGCAAGCTCGAAGAAACGGCACGGTTAGAGGCGGCGCCAAACATGTGGATTTGTTGTTGAATCGATGGTCTTTTCGGGCCCGTGAGAAGATTTTGACTGAGTTGGCCAACCAAAGCGCACGATATCGCGTGGTGCACGGGTGTGGTTCGTGCCCCGCGCATACATAGGTCTGGGAAATGATCTGGGTGAAGCACAGCGTTATTCTATATAAGTCGGGCAGACAAGAATTGATAGGCGGACATCTGCAGCGCAATCGGAAGAATGCGATATTTAGGAAGGGGAATATCAAATGAAGGGCGGGAAATGCCGGTTTTTTTCGACGGCTAATACCGAGGCACCTGAGGGGATCAACAATTTCGCCAGGAACTGAGGTCTTTCATCGTGCAAGGTGTAGATCACTTACGCTTTTGAGCATTGGTGTCTACCAGATTATTTGAAAACAAGAAGCGTTGTGTGCATTTGGGTTTTAGTAGTGGTAAGAACTTTTGTTGGGACTCTTGTTGGGGTTGAAAGTAAACTCAGCTTGTAAAATGAATTGCAAGAACCAAAAAGGAATAGACAGGAAGTTCGAAAAAATTTAAACCATCTCACTTTTGTTCTTTCTTCAGCATGAAAATACGGAACAAATCAATATGAATGTATGATTGAACAAGGCTGATATGACGGTGCCCTTATTGAATGCCCCCAGTTGCAGCGTTTTCATGGCGTTGAGTGTGCAGTACTCCGAGACTGCCATGCAAATTCACGGACTTTCATTCTACCCATTTCAACCCATTTGGCATCAATCATACGAGCTGTGTTTCAACAATGTCTTGCAATAATATTTCAGTATCAAACAAATATTGTCGTTTGAAGTAGAGGTCCCGCAGAGGCCAGCGGCACACTCCCCGAGTGTCTAGTAGAAACTCAAAGGTTTTCAGTTTTGTCTACATAATACACTTAGGATGTAAAGTCCGTCGTTTCCACAAGTTAGCTGATAATTTCGTGTTCTTCGTGGATATACTAGGTATCCTGCTGCTCTATGCCCTTGCAGCTGCACTTGTGACTTTCGTGTTCTTAGTACATCAAGGCTCCATCTCCCTCGATGATGAGCAATTATCGTGCCAATTATATGCTCTCCTCAAACAAAGGATCTACATCCTCACTCTTCTATTGTTCACATCAAAGCTGAAGAACATTCCTACCCTTTCTTCAAGCCCTCAGACATTTATATGATTGGCAAAAGAAACCACGGAGAAACGAACAAGCCGAGTCTCTTGAACCATTTTTACAAAGTTAGGTAGCTGCGCGTAGTGTTGTATAAATTTTCCCCTAAGGATTACCCCTCTAGAATATAAATATTAAAAAAAATGGACTTGTGAGGCGCAGCAAGAATCCTCAGAACCTCTCGAGATAGTTGCAAAAAGACGGCTTTGACAGTCTTAGGCACGAACTGGTATACATGTGTCATGGTAGCTGTAAATTAGCCAGACAAATAACGACTTTAGCAAGAGCTAAAATGTAATGCCAGACAGGATTTAGCCCCGCAATAATCGAGTCGAAAACCTGCTGCAAGATAAAGCTATACTCTGTCCCTCACTTAGATGCACATGGAGCGGAGTCTGATTCGAAAATCTCCTTCAAATATTACCATGCTCTTACGCGTATCATTGCTATTTAAATCACAAAATGGTATTACAGAAAGTGGAGTGACTCAAATTGATGATTTTCCCGCTTCTAAATTAGTAGTTGTCCCCAATAAAATGGGCAGCTAGAAAGGAATAACGCTGTTATCTCATTCGTTTTATAAGAGGTCTGTATAGACGACTCAAACAAAAGCAAGGAGATAGGAAAATAAAATGTTCACTCCGAATAGGGCATTTGCAATTTACTCATGTGTAGTTCAGCTGGAAATAACCCAAAATATTGAGTATAGCCTGCTTGGAGCCCAAGCAAAATAATGCGCGGCTCACAAGAAACACAACATCACTTCCACTGGGTTATTTCAGGAATTTGCTATGAATATCGCAAGATTTGGTGACGGTTAATACAACCGCTTTGAACGTGGACTAAAAGACAGTGCCCCATATTAAGATTCAAGCCATTTGATATTCTCACGCTCCGGGAAACCTGAGTTTCTATCAAAGCAGGGAGAAGGTATGATCAGAATGAGTTTGAGACAATAGTGACACAGGCTACCATTTAGGCACGGCAAAATCGAGTAACTTGACAAATAATGTGTAATTGTTCCTTGCAACTGTCCTTTATCTAACATTTTTACCGTTTTTTAATGAGTACAGGTAATCAAATTTTGAGATAAAAAAGACTTTGGAGACGCTACCTTGGAAAGCACTTCTTACACAAAACATGAAATAAGTGGAAACAACAGAACGAGACTCGAATTCTAAGAAAATCACCATATCTGTTCCGACTAAAGCTCCGTTGACTTTGTCTTTAATCTGACACTCTGGCTTACATGTTGAGTTTTCACGCCTGTTTATTTTGTATCTGTCCGTTTTGAAAAGTTTTCACAGATAAGTCAGTGATCCATATGAGAACATTTGATGTATTTAGAGTGTGAAATCCTCCTATAAGCTTTGACTTTTTATTCCACTGAAGACCTGGCCTTACGAAACCTTTGAATCTTTGTCTATTTTGATAATCAGCGTATTTTATATTGAGACTTCAGATTGGAGGTAGCTAAAAATGTCGAGCTGCGGTAACCCAACTTGTAGAACCATGTGCTCCTCTAGGTAAGAGCATCGAGAAATGCCAAAAGCGGTGACTATTTGACAAAGATCCGACTGAGACATTCTAAACGCTTTGCTTTGTAGAGTACAAAGTACCATTCTTTAAAGTTGACCATTTAGTAGTCAAATGATCTACCAGATATTAGAAAAACACCTCCAAACGCTGACTCTGAAACAATCATATGTAATTACTGCTTTTACTGCAAACAATCATATGTAGTTACTGCTCTCACTGCTAAAGATAAAGCTTTTAGTCTGTGATCGTGAATAATACATGAGCTGATTGAAATAAGCTTCCGCAATCGTTTATCATACTATATTCTTGATGACTTGAAATACACCCGGAGAAACTTGAGAGTCTTTCTTTTTTTTCCATCTGATGGCTTCTTGAGAACGCCTCTGATAATAGTATCTAATTTTAAGCAGACCAAAAGTCGATTGAAGCCTATTATATCAGACCCAGCGCCCGTGGGGCAGTATGAAACGTTGTGGCACAAAAGCATATATCGGGCGGACTATGTGGGGGATTTCCAATGTAATATATGGCGCTTGATGTCAACCGGAAAAAAGGCATTATATAATCTGTGCCAATGTCAAAATTGACTTCATGAATATTACCCACAAGAACAGTCAACATACCTGTTGTCAGGGAATAGCGAAAGCCATTAACAGAATACGTATGAAGCCGGATGAGATTTCTATTTCCAAAGCCTGCAACTTTGATCACGGGTATGTTACCCTCAAATAAACCCCATCCGGTGACTTTCAAAAGTGAATCAAATGAAGCCAAGTAAACCGTTTGAGCGGCTGCTAGAGCATATGTGCGTTGTGAGTATTGTAAGTCTAGCTGACCACCGGAGCCGAGAGTGATACATCCAATTCCTTCAATGGTTTTTTTTACTGGCCAGAGGGTGTTATTCAAGCAGACTGTTCCATCATTTACTATCGAAGTGAGCTCGTTGCTTGAAGAGCGGCATTCAAAATTTAGCCTCACATCCACACCATAGGTTGCTGCAAACACCATAATACCAGTGTTATACCACTCAGTCACAGACGTGACAGAGAACGGTGCAATTTCATAACTCCCACCTTGAATACCAAATGAGATATTGCCAGTATTCTGGAACGACCCCAGAAGTGTAATGTGAAATTCGGAAAAGGCGTCGTTTGACGACGAGTTGAGTATGACATTTCCCAAATTTTCAAATTCTCCCCCCGTGATCCATACACCAGTGGTTCTACTACTGGAGCTCGTGATATTTATATTGCCTTCATTCTTAAAGAGCCCCAGCACAGTGAAAAGATTGCTGTTTATAACTGAGAAGTCTACTTCTGGACGGACGGTGAGACTTGTAAATGACAATTCGTTCATCGTGCTCATAGTAGTATTACGCTCGATAAGCATTGCCCACACATTGCTGGCCAAAAAGATATTGAAAATCAAGACTACGTGGAATGCTGGATTCATATGGAAGAAAACAATCACAGTTATGTGCACCAGATAATGAATGCCCTTTATAGTGGGCAGTAAATCTAGAGTTTTTGTTCGAATATTTTTCCGGAAACCCACCTAGTTGAAAGTTATGAGTCAGTTTTATGTTCTCGTGCTGCTTTTTCTGTCACGAAAAACATCTGATCACTGCATTTATATCTCTTTAATCTGGGATGGCAAATTGCTGGCTGTGCACGGCTTTACCACGTTTAGGAATGCTTGCAGCTCAATAATTATTAACAATCTTGCATGAATAGCCGCAGAAATTGGAGAATCCTACCTATAAAGACCATGGAAATATGCAGGTTCAGAGAATGCTTATTGTTTATAGTTTACCTGTCGAAATAAGTGAAGCTAAAGAAAACTGAAAAATCAACCTTTCACCAAGACCCGAAGTGTACTCTGTGAGCAACCAACAAAAAAAACTGTACCTTTGACAGAGTGGTTCTTTTGAATTACAAATTGAACACGTAGTCAGTGAAGAGAAGTTTGATATCATGTGATTCATTTGGAGCTTGTGTGCCCGCTTGTACTTGATATCACACACAGTGCATCAGTACTAACAAGAACGTCAATAGTCACAGAGCTGCCGCTGGCGAAAATTCTTGGGGTTCAGTATTTCTGTGGGGATCTAACAGTCATACAGTGACGACCAGATTATCTCATACAATTCATTATCTTAAAATACTATGATGGATACACTGATATTCATATACGAGACAAAGAAGTTGACAACGTTTTCCTCAGCTGCTCTCTGTTCAAGAATACTTGACACTCATGGATAGTGAGACTTTTACGACACATTTTATACTAACTATATCACTTTCGGGCAGCTTGATTTGCATGTCGCATTGTACGCCTTTCCATAGCCCTTTTATTCAAATACCGCTTGATTCATCATGATATCCAAAATAATGGTTATTCGAAACATGTAATTTTCTTTCTATGGTGGCTGTATGCCGTTTTTTTATGAAATCCAGCAACGTAGAACAAATGTAGGTATAGTGGTTCATTTTTGCACATGTAAACTGCACGATAGTATATATCAGGTTTCGGAAGTAATTCAGCTATTCACGAGTTTGTAAACTAGTATATTGTTTTAGCGCAAAAGCTTTCTTTGCATCTTAGTTCCCCATTTAACCCTTCGCTACACTGTGTTATGCAATTTTGATCAATGTTTCGTTTCGCAAGATGTATCCCATTTGTCAAAAAGCTACAAACTCTCAACAATTTTTGGAAAATCAAATTTATGAAGCAAGGGAGGCATTTGAGTCGAGACCCAAGCTACTGATTTCCAGCTCTGGTTCAACCAGTCGTCAGAAAAAACTTTCCTGACAGAATCGTGATCATCTTTAGTATCTGTGAGTAAACCTCATCATGCTGGAGGTGAAGTTTTACGAAAAAAAAAAAGAACATATCATAGACAAGACACGAAGCATGTTTTAAAATTTGTGGTTAGATGGCCAAGCGTTTTTGGAGGGTGAGTTTCTATACTCCATTAATACATTGAAACTAATAAAAACTGTAAACGCCCAAAAATTAATAAGGTTTTCTTGGCTTAGCAATTTGTGCTAACAAAAGCACGTTTTTGTGAAGGACACTAAGTTTCAAAACCGTACTTAACTCTGCATCGAATACTTTCTAAAACTCCATTGAAATTCTATCTCGAGAATCTTAAGAGACATCAACTAGTTCAACTAGCCCCTCATTTCAGTCCCACTGCCAGATCAATACATTCGCGTTTACTGTGCGTCTTCAGGTGTATAATTGGTAGCTAGAAACTAATTATGGTCAAATAATCGGGAAATGAAACAGCACTTCAAATAGTTTTTATGGTCCATTTAAGCCATCCATTGTCGTGGTGACCATTATCATCTTATTTTTAACAACAATCTAAAATTAAGGTTGAAGAAGTCTGTTTAAGGTCAACATAGAGTGTAGTTTTAATCATCATATAATAAGGCTCTGTTGTCAGGCGATATAAATTGAAGGCAACAACTAAAATAGTCACAAACCACTATAATTCAAAACTTTGAAGAATCTTACTATTTTTATCCTGTTTTTCATGAAGTTGAGCATCGAAGCTGTAATCATTATTGTGTCGAGCTTCTTCAGCTTGTCATTCTCCTCTGCCCACGATTCTGTGGAGATATTTCCAGGATATAGTAACCTAACTGATCTCACTATTTCAACGGGAGAAAATGTCACTGTTACTAACCGTCCATATTTCAATATTCTGGGAGATTTTTGGAATTCCGGCACATTTTCTGTAAGAAATGAGAATGAGCCAATGAAATTACGTATGAGCGGAGCCGAATTCCGAAATACTGGAAAGGTCGATTTCACTTCGTTTTCACGATTTGGCGAGTCTAGCTATGTAATCTTTGCCAGAAAAGGGTTTTGGAATGAAGGTGAAATAGCATTTGGTATCTGCACAAATCAGACTCAGAGCATTCCTTTTGTTGTTGCCTCTTTTGGGTTATGGATTAACAGAGGAAAAATGATTTTTCAAAAGGGCATTGGCTCTATGACAGAGTTATACATCGTTGGAAAGTCTGCCGGAAATGATTTCTTGGCCATCACAAATAACGGATCCATTTGCTTGTATAACACTCATTGGAACACAAATATGGATATTAAAGGACACGGCTGTGTTGCAGTGGGGTCTGATTCAAGACTTGAGATTAGTTTTGCAAGAGGTGAAAATGCTGTTCAAAACACCCAGACTATCTACTTAGAATCACCTGCTTCAGTATTGGCCATATCTGGCTTGACATCCTTGCTGACTCCTCCATTCATAAATATTGCTGGATTTGGCCAACACAATTGGATTGACTTGGATATTGAGTTTAACAATCTGACCACGGAGTATGATTATTTTGGGCATTCAGGCTTGTTGGTGATAAAACTGTCTAAAAGGCAAGTGGTTCAGATACAAATAGGAGAAAGCTACGATTTGAGGTATTTGAAATTGACAAGTGGACCGGCGGGCAGCAGATTAGTATACGAACTCCCTAGCCCAAACACACCACCTAGTGCATGTTCATGCAAACCAATATGTTAGAGCTATGGAGAAACTAGTAGTTCTTCTTATGCTGCTACCTTTGGAACTGGAAGAAAGTGAAATTGAAAATTTTAGTTCAATCAGGTAATGATTGAGTAAGGATATTTCTGGTTTATATAAGGGCAGTGAAATTGGGGCTTTTTAAAAGAAAAAACTGCTTATCATCTTTCAAGAAGCATCAAATATCTGTTTTGGTTTTTTTCTATGTTTTGTTCAATGCCTTCCAGGGGTCTTTGTTAAATATGATAAGTATCATAGGCCACCTCGCTGATTATCTTCAGAAATCGGAATAATTAGAATGGATTCGCTCAAGCGGAATCGTGTAGTGGTAAGCTTTGAAAGAGCTTTAAAGTGATTTAGTTATAACCCCCTAAAAAGTTCCTGTCATTGCATTTTATGTAACTGTCGGAGCCTTTCGGAGATGCGCCATACATAATTTTACTCAAATTAGCGTGGCTTGGAGGTTAATTTATATTTCCTGTAAATTGAGCTCTATCAAAATCTAGTTTCTTTATACTGTAGACAATTTTACAATTGATGAGAATATAGGTCAATTAAGCAGGCTGTTAAATTGGCATAAAAAAACTGAACGGTCATGATCGTATGGCGCGACATTCGAGATGGAAACAAAAAACGGTATTTAATGTTTGATTTAGACAATAAAGAGTGCATGAAACAAATTTTCTGGGTCTGTAATTCTTATTGAACTTTCTTGATTAAGTTCGAACTTGTAATTCTTATTCAAGCTCCAACGGCTTTCTTAAGGTTTGAGCAAGACCAGTGCACTCGAATTTAAGTTTAAAGTCCTTTTACAAGATACAGTTCGCTTTTTCTAGTTTGTGATGTCGAGCTTCTACTTTTATGGGATTCTTTTAAGGCCAGAATGGCATCAGACTACTGTCAACATGGCAATTGAAATATAATGTACTATAAAAAGCCGCTTGTAAGAGAGAAAACAGAGTTCTAAACTCAGTTCGAACAGGAGACAGGTTTGGGAGCTGCCCAACTCACATTGGACAGGAGAAGCATATTCTGATGATCTTAAATTGCAGGTGATTATGCAAGGTTGATCTTCAGTTTCACTTTTAATGCAAGACCCGATACTTCCGCGTTTAACCTAGAATCAAAGTAATACAAAAGTGACAAGAATCCCGGACTTGTGAGTAAAGCAAACTCGATAATTAAGCAGCGTGACTTTCTGGAAAAACCTATAAGGCCAATATTAGAAAATTTTAATTTTCTATTACCTGAAAAAGATTTTGTGATACTTCACAGTGACCTGTTCTCATAAATTGCAATATGATTCTCGGTGTTATAAGGATAGCAATCACCTTGAATTTTGTTGCTTTGGTAACTTCAATAGAAATAGTTGATGGAACTGTGGCAAATAACATAGCCGAGTTCGCCGAAGAAAGTCTTACAGTCAGTGCCGAAGTATATCTATCAATTGTTAACAGTTCACGTGTGACATTCCTGGACTCCGTTAGGAACTACGGTAGTCTTTATGTCACAAATCATAACAATCAGGACGTTTGGGTGAGAATGTCAGGACAAGACTTCGAGAATTCTGGAACTGTTTCTTTTAGTTGTTTGACGACTCCAGTATTTTCTGATTATCACATCAGGGTTACTAGATCGTTTGTGAATACTGGAAACATGTACTTTGGTGTTTATGGTGAAGACTATGGAGCTTCACCTTTTTCTGTGACTTCAGTGTCTACATGGACAAACAGTGGTATGATGCTTTTTCTGGTAGCTCATGGCGAGAGTGCCCAGTTACAAATTCAACGATACGTTCCGGATGATGGATATCGTTCCATAACAAACACTGGATCTCTCTGCTTGAACAACACCCACTGGCCAGTACAGACAAACATAGAGGGAAATGGCTGTATTATTGTTGGTTCTGGTGGACAACTAGACTTGCAATTCTCGGAGAGCACCCATGGAATTGCGGAAGATCAGACCATTTACTTGGCATCCTCCGACTCTTTGTTGAAGATTTTGGGACTTGAATCACATTCAAGTGAGCCTCCGGTTATTAAGCTCGCTGGCTTAGGAGGAAGCAACAGAATCCAATTTCAAGCGTATTCAACTCAGACATATCGATATTACACAGCCATAGGTCTCTTGAATATCTTCGTTGACAATGTTCGTAAAGTGTCATTCAATATTGGCATAGGATATGAGTTGGAGCTTTTTGATTTAACATCAGGTATTCTTTCCTATAGTGGACCGCCACCAGAAAGCGCCCCAGATTCTTGCAAATGCGGAACATCATTCCCCACCGTTCCAAATATTTCTGGATAGGCTCAGCCAAGTGTGAAAAAAGCGTTTTTCAATTCGGAAACAATGCGAAAGATCTCCAGTCTTGCATCACTGTTATACATCAAGCTTCTACATTATTGGCGGTGGTCGCAAACTACATATGAAAAATTTGTTTAAAATTCAGTTAAATTGTATGCTTGAAACAACAATATATAGCTCTGCGTGATTGTAATAAACCAGTGAATTTCACGCAAAATTTTTATTATTGCCCCTGCTTTTAGTTAGAGAAAGACTTGATTCTAGCTACTGTGCTGCTACTGTGCTTCTGGAATCATCGTCAGCAGCCCCGAGTATTATATATTGAAATACACGATTTAATCTATTATCATGGCATGAAGCTTGCTTGATCTTGCCGGGATGAGGGATATACCAAAACACTAATTGGAGATTAGCTATATACTTATAACTAGCGGAAGAACGGGTCGAGCTTTTATGTCCGTTGTATGGTCTTGCTGGTTGATCGGATATTTTTCCTGGTGTTGCTGGCTATGCCTGTGGTGGGGGATGGAGACAGGATCAGCTGGATGCTGTATGGGGGTTTGCGCCGTCAAATAATAGCAAAAGGCTATATAGCTAAAGCCTGAAATGCGAAACATTAGTGCTGAAGCCTTTGAGACATGGCATGTTCTGGCGATAAACGCATATCCTGTGATATGCCGTGACCCAGAAAACTGGGCCTTGGGCCCCGCAATATGAGGACAGCCAGATTGGTGCAGTTTATGATTATAGGCCCATGTTGGAGATCTGGTTCCGGCCCCTGGCACGAGACCCTCTCGCCAGCGATTGCAGGCTGTGCTAATAAACCGTTCCAGTCTGCGAGCGTTGGACTCCAGCTTCTGCCGATGATTCATTCTGGTATTGCAAGTTGCAATAGTAAGAGAGTCTACAAAAAGTAGTGGGGCAGACACCGTGAAACTAAACCATATTCGGGGCATTGGCCAACTTTCATCGGGAGACTACATACATGACTGATACATAGGATAGACATAGAGACGTCTTGTTTCCGAGATTTGCTCGCAAGTGTTTGGATGGGACAGGAGGTCTGCAGATGGCCAGGAAGAACAAATACACGGATGCCATGACACTATTGGAAAGCTAACCTCGCATTCTGATAGACGATGGGAAGCGGTGGATTCGGCAAAAAAAGTGCATGCTAGAAGTCAACTCATTTACTCTGTGATGTTATTAGTCTGGCATCATACTACAAACCTCACTTCAGAAAAAACTTAGATGCGCCAGATGTGAGGATACAGAAACAAGCTGGCGTTCGGCGACTTTGAGATGCTTCCATGGTGACAGGCTTGAACACACACACGAGCCCGAACAAAGAAATACCCAATCACCTTTGCCATTTCCATAGATACAAAGATTCTTCCAAGTAAACTAGGTGCTTTACGAGGGAAGCGTTGTACGGTTTGGTCTTCGAAGAGTATACACGAGACGTAATCTTACAATCCATGGCGAGGCCGCTGAGGTGGTGGCAATGAAATAGAGTGATGGTCTCTGAAAAGTGTTTTGCACCTCATTGCGGAAGCCGCTTACAACATGTTTCTTCATCAGAAACAGCTTCAGTGTGTCACATATTAAGCGGATGAAAAGACCAAGAATACGTACCATGAAACATGCAATACACAAGGTTTTCTCAGAGATTGTGGTGACAGAATCCGGTTAGAGAGAACAGAAACACAGAGGCTTGATAAAAACATACTTGAGCTCGTCCTGCAACTTGGATTTCACCAACAACTCGTGCACCTCCTAGGGTATCGCCAAGGAGGACAGGCCGTTCAACAAGACCTTCTCGGCCTCCCAGGCATCAACCTTGTTCTCCACCATGTAGCGGGCAACCTTGGTGTTTCTGCCTCTGGAATGGGTGGTGATTAGGTCGGGCACACAGGCAGACTCCTCGGTAAAGATCGTGGACTCGGGCGCAGACAGGCCCGCAGAGCCGAACTTCTTCAGTAGGAAAAATTAGATGGTCTGCTTGATGCCGCACTTCCATTAGGAAGCAAAGTGGATGGTCTGCTTGATGCCGATTCTCATGATGGCGGCCTTGGCGTTGTAGCCCTGGACGGCACCCTCGACGAAATAGCTCTAATTGCAAGGTAGTCTTTGTGGCTGTATAGTTTGGTGCGTTGGCGGAGAGTGTTTGTAGAGCGGACACTTAAACGATGCCTGGGGTTACTTGATGAGCTTACTTGCGTGTTCAATTGACTATTATCACACTGGCGAATACTTTTGGATGGAAAAAGATTCAACACGGAAAAAGATTCAAACATGGAAAAAGATTCAACATGGAAAAGGATTCAATACGGAAAAAGATTCAACACGGAAAAACATTCAACAGGGAAAAAGATTCAGACATGGAAAAAGATTCAGACATGGAAAAAAACATAGAGAAGATCAAACTGGGGAAACAAAGACTGCGAACGATTGCAAGAGAGAAAAAGAGAAAGGGGTCGAGTTTGCCGGAGTACCTTGATACTGTCACCCTTGCCCATCTAACACGCATGAAAAGATTGCTTCAGCTGGAGAACCCCGAGGAACTATCTAACCAAAAACGAATGCACATTCATCGTGTTCTGCCATCGCCAAGGTAAGCGGAACATTTGCTATACTAAAGAACTGATCGTGTAAGGGCCCTGGTGCCTTCAAAGATGGATGCTGCAAATTCTTCTTTACAACTTCCAGTTTTGTTTCAGTCCGGGAAAGCTAATGATCTTGCTGCCCATTTCTCTCGAAATCCCACTTTCAATCCTTCGTCACTCACACCGGTGGGTGCAGTCATGCAACTCACTCTGGATCCACTCTGGATGGATCGACTTCTGGGCGCTTATTCTCTGGACCCCGCTTTCGGGGCGATTTATACGTTTATCACAGAGAATGGACTTACGACTTCGGAGAAGTACCCCGCTTACAAATTAATTTCAGACACGGGATTGTTGTATTTCGAAGGGCGCTTGTGCATTCCTCACAGCATCCTCCCAGATTTCCTTTTTCAGACTCACTGTGCTCCCTCTGCTGGTCACCCTGGTATACGCCGCTGGTTGCAATGGCTCCGTCCCCTTTACTATTTTCCCGACATGCAAGCAGTCGTGGAAAATTACGTCAAGAGCTGTCACGAATGTCAAACCGTGAAGTATAACAGCTCCAAACCTCAGGGCCTTCTTCAGTCCTCTGATCCACCTTCCGGTTGTTGGACCGACATCGCCCTCGACCTCATCACCGGCTTCCCTCAGGTTGATTTTCAAAGTCAACAGGTCGATGCTATCCTTACAGTGGTGGATAAGTTTAGTAATCGCGTACATTTTTACGCCGTGCTGTCCGGTTTTAAAACCGAAGATCTTGTGCATTTGTTGCTTCACAGATATTTTCCACTCCATGGTTTACCCAGGTCCATTCAAACAGACCGCGGTCCCCAATTCACTAACGCAGCGCTTCAGTCGCTTTTGGCACTTCTTCGCGTTGACTCAAAGCTATCTCTTGCTCGCCACCAACAATCGAATGGTCGAGTCGAGAATCGGAACAAAATGATTGAGACATACCTCCGACTTTACATCGGCCTGCGGCAGGACTGGCCGGAATTTCTCGCCGTGGGCGAGTTTGTCTTGAACGCTCAGCCTTCGACATCTCTTGCCAACAAAGCTCCATTTGAGGTTGACCTTGGTTATGTTCCCTCCGCACCCACGGGTTTTCTTTTCCCTCCCGTTGACTCGCGACCCCCTCGGTCCGCTCTTGATATCACCGAGTTACTCGATCGGTTGCGGGACACTGCGCTTGCTGCGCATCAAGCCGCTTTCTCCAATGCCAAGCAGTACTATGACCGACGCCACAAACATCAACAATTTTCCCTCGGCGATGAAGTCTATCTCGATCTTTCGCAGCTCGGAAATCAGCTCGACGCTCAAAATTCTGCTGTCTTGCCCGAGTTACGTTCGAAATTTGCTGGGCCGGTTGCCATCGCTTCTGTTCTTAGTCCAGTCAACTGCGAGCTTTCCATGCCCCCACATTTTCGGGACACCCAGTTTTCCACATTAGTCAGCTCCGGCTCAAACACAAAATTCCGGACAAACATTTCTCTGCTCCTCACTCTCTGGTTCCGTTGAAGCAGTCTCCCGACGGCTCTGTGCAAGTGGAAATTACGAAACTCGTGGATCACCGAAAAGGGGCCACCGGCTATCGCTTACTGGCTAGATGTGTTCCGACGGCAGAATTCTCCAAGGCGAGATCGATGAGTTTCGTGCTTCTGATCTAGCTAAGTCCGCATCCGAACTTACGTTGGCCTATGCAAAGAAGCATTGTCTTTCTAAAATTCTTGAGTTTTCTCTGACACCTCTTCCGAAACTGGCGGGGATGTTAGGTCCCTGGTATCAGCTTGACGCTGAAGGTCCTTGTAAGCGCAGATATGACCATCCTCCATGACTGTGGGTCCCGTCCGATATCGTTCTGGACAACTCATAGAATATTCTCTCGAGTTCTAAAGGTTCCGTCGACGTGACCTCTGGATAAGGTATACAAAGGTGGAAGAGAACCGTTTCAGAAACCAGTGATCAAATAGCAATACAGAACCCCTATGTCCCGTGAAGTCCCTAACAATGACCATATGCACCTCCATGACTGTGGGTCCCGTCCGATATCGTTCTGGACAACTCCTGGGATCATCTCCCGGGGTCTCAGGGTTCACGTGACCTCTGAGCAAAGGACAGGAAGGTGGAAGACAACGTCTGTAGAGCTGTCGACAAGCCGGTGATTAGTAGTAATGTCGCGAAAAGTCCAACAGTCTGACTGAGAGCAACAGGATAACTCGCGAAGCACGGGCCGCGCCTTTATGTTGCTGCACGATCATCTCGTTGATGGGACGAACCCAACCAAAACTCACATCCCCATCGTATCATGGCGTCAAGGAACCAGAACCGGGCAGTGGCTTGGCCCGCCAAGCCACGTGACACATCAGATCACGTGACACACCACGTGACACACCAGATCACGTGACACCCACGTGACCGCGCCTATCACCATCGGCGTGCCTCCCCCCTCCTCCAACACCATGTCTTCCTCCAACTCTGCGGCCGCCGTCTACGGCGGCGACGAAATCAACGCCATCGTGTTGGACCCCGGGTCGCACACGACCCGCATCGGCTACGCCGGCGACGACCTCCCCCGCGTCGTGGCGCCGGCGTGGTATGCGCTTGACGAGGACGGCACGCGCCTGTTTGGCGGCAGCGTCGACTTCCCCAAGGCCGGGCGGCAGGTGCGGCCGCTCATGCGCGAGGGCTTGGTGTGTGACTGGGACGCCGCGGCGGCGCACTTCCGCCACCACTTCGACGGCCCGATGGCGCTCGCGTACGCGGAGCAGCCGCTCCTCGTGACGGAGCCCGTGTGGGCGCCGGCGAAACACCGGCAGCGCATGGTGGAGACGCTCTACGAGGAGTTCGGCTTCCCCGCGGTGTACTTGGCCAAGACGCCCACGTGCGTGTCGTTCCAGCAGGGCCGGCCGAGCTGCTTGGTGGTGGACGTGGGCCACGACTCGGCCAGCGTGGTGCCGGTGGTGGACGGCATGTGCTTGCTCAAGCACTCCATGCGCACGGGCTACGCGGGCCGCTTCTTGAACGACCACGTGGCGGACACGCTCGCGGCGCGGTTCCCGGGCGTGGACCTCCTGCCGCAGCACCGCGTGCTCCGCAAGACGCCCGTGGTGTACCCGGCCGCGGCGCGCTTCGAGCCGCGGGTGTGGCCGGGGCCGGTGGCGCCGTCGTTCGACGAGTACCAGCGGCAGCGGGTTTTCTGCGAGTTCAAGGAGCTCATGCTCGAGGTGCCGGCCAAGAAGATGCCGGGCCAGGCCGGCAGAGCAGACAAGGCCGACAGAGCAGACAAGGCCGGCAGAGCAGACAAGGCCGGCAGAGCAGACAACTCAGGCAAATCAGACAAGGCCGGCAGAGCAGACAACTCAGGCACAGACCCCGCCGACACGCGAGACACGCCGGACGCATCCGACGCGGACGCCTTGGAGCGCACCATGGAGTTGCCCGCGGGCCAGACCGTGGCCGTGGCGCGCGACCGCCTCGCCCTCGCGGACGCGTTGTTCGAGCCGGCGCTCCACCCGTTCCACGACGCCGCGTACGCCGCGCGGCACCCCGCGTGCAACGGCGAGATGGCCCTCAGCAGCCCCTACGACGACTACCGGCCCACGAAGCGTGCGCGCAAGCCGGACACGGGCCCGCACACGCCACTGCCGGCTGCCGGCGGCGGTCCACAGCCCGAGCGCGGGTTGGCGCAGCTCGTGGCGCACGCGCTCGCGTCCGTGGACGTGGACTTGCGCACGGCGCTCGCGCACAACGTGGTGGTCACGGGCGGCACGTCGCTCGTGCCGCGCTTGACCGAGCGGCTCAGCGCGGAGTTGCAGGCCGCGCACCCGGGCTTGAAGGTGCGGCTCCACGCGCCGGGCAGCGCGGCCGAGCGCACGGGCCAGGCCTGGCTCGGCGGCAGCGTGCTCGCGTCCTTGGGCGCGTTCCACCAGATGTGGGTCAGCAAGGCCGAGTACGACGAGGCGGGCGCGGAGCGCATCTTGACCCAGCGCTTCCGCTGAGCGCGTCTGGCCGAAGGGGAGGGGGGTTGATCGTCCGGGTGTTCTGGAGGCAGCCGCAGGCCATTGGAGGCCGGGATGTCCTGGAGGTGTGGATGTATTGATGGTCGGGATGTATTGATGGTCGGGATGTTCTGAAAAGTATTGATATGTTCTGGATGTATTGATGTGTTTTGGAGATATTGATGGTCTGGATGTATTGATATTCTGGATGTTCTGAAGAGTATTGGTATGTTCTGGATGTATTGATGTGTTCTAAAGGTATTGATGGTCTGGATGT